TGGAGTCCCCGGTCAGCTGCACGCTGTGTCTAGAATCAGCACTTTCCTTCATTAGCCCTGTCTCTTCCCACCCCCTTCTTTGGTGGAGTGTTTCTTTGTGGGGCTCCCCCCGCCCCCACCACCACCATTGCCTTTCCTGCTACCGGGCCTCTGCCAAGCCTACCTAGTTCACCAAACGAGCCTTCTTTATTTTGAAAGTTCAGGAAAAGAGGTTGCAATGCCAACACCTTTTCTCCCAGGCCCTTGCAAAGTCATGGATACTCGAGGCTCCATTTGACAGTAGCCGAAACCCAGTGCCAAAGATGTGTTACAACCCGGTGATGTCTAACCCTCACTTCTCCAGCATCTCAGCAGCGGGCTGCTGCCCAGCCAAAGGCCCTGCCACAGCTCTTTCCCGGGAAGGCTCACTCACTGAACCCAACCACAGTCATTCTTATGTGCGTCTTCAACACCTCGCACGATGCTCAGGTGTGATGGCCTCCAAGCCCACATTCAGCTCGCCTATCTGCTCATTAGGTATAGACCTCAGAGCAGGTTACCCCTGGAGCCCCCTGGCATTGCCGGGGAGTCTGCTGACCCAGGCAACACAAGCCTGGGCCCAAAATCTCAGCGGGGTAGGGGCGTGGGGGGAAGGAAAGGCACGGGTGTGCTCCCAGGAGGGAGAGCTCTGGGTCCTCCTAGGGGTCTACGGGTGGAGATTTTAGGGGAGGTCCCAGGGAAGATCTCAATAGCATCTTCAGCAGCTTTCCAGGTGTGTCCATTCAGGGTGTGGTCTCCACTGACTGACCGGCCAGCAGCAGGGCAGCGGGTCATTATTCCATGCAGCTGGGCCCGGTGGCTGGTTTTATTGCTTAACTGGGCCTGGTGCTGAAACACAGCTGAGGCCTAGATGTTATTTCTAGGGAGGAAAAGTCAGGGGGTCCAAACCCAATGCCCAGCGATGTGCTAGGGGAGGCAAGGTCACCCTACAATTGACTGTCCATGGCTAGGATGCCCTATCCTACCAGGAAGTAAAACATGGCCTCAGGAACCGGCTCCTGACGTGGGCTATCAGATTTTACAAATAAAAATGCAGGCTGCCCAGTTAAACCTGAACTGCAGATAAACAACACAGGCATTTTAGGATAAGTGTGGCCGGTGCTGTGATGTCCCTGGGCCTAGGAGCTGCTGCTGCCAAGCCCACGTGGCACTCAAGGGAGCCGCAGACCTGCCGGGTGCTCAGGGTCTGCTCCCCAGCCTGGTGCCCGAGAGGCAGGCCCGGGTCACACACCGCCTCCTTGTGGGCTGCGTGGATGTGCAGCACCCCCTGGGGAGGGGAACCCGAGTCAACAGCCCCGGGCTTTCCAGGAAGAGAGGAGAGGAGAGGATGCTGGCTCCTGCTTTTATGAGCAGGGCCCGCCCCAGTGCAAGTGCGAGATCTTGGCTCCAGGTCTCCCCCGTGTTTTTCTTGGAGCATCACACAGGGAAGCGCTGCTCTGGGGCATGTGTGCTCTCAGAAGAAGTGGGAAGCTTTTCTCCCCCAGAGGAGCACTTTATAGAGTGGTTTCATCGCTCTAAACTCTAAATGTGTTTGTTAAAGGAAAAGGAGGTGCAAGCTGGAGAGGAGCCGCCAGCCCAAGAGCCCAGGAGCCCAGGAGGCGGCTGTCCAAGGGCTTTGGCTGCGGCCGCCTGGAGGGAGGTCGCTGACCCGAGCAGCCTCCCTGAGCCGGGGACAGGACCGGCAGGGATTTCCAGTCCTTCCAGGCCCAAATGATCCAGAAAGGAATGGTAATAAAAATTCCTTCCACTTCAAAGCCTACGAAGCGTTTTTTATAGACATTCTCAGTAGCCCTTCTAGCAGGTGCGAGGCACGGGCCCGAGGGGAGGGAGCCGTGACTTCCCTGGAATTAGGAGTCTGTGAGGAATGGAGCCGGGACTCAGCCCCAGGCTTCTGGGCCTCAGTCCAGAGACCTTTCCAAGGTGGTCAGATGCCTCGTTGTGTGGTAGGTGGCAAGAACGGGACCACGTGTCTGACCAAACCTGGGTTCAGCAACCTCAGTACTTGGGTTCTAGCTAGGAAAGGATTCAGAGCAAGACCCGAACTGTAAGAGAACACTGATCGGGTAAGTTAAGGAGGCAGAAGAAGTAATTCCCAGAAGAAATGGGCTTAGGAAACGAGTTATGGAGGTAAAGGAAGGGCCACGGAGGCTTGGGAGTGAGAAGCTAATGGTAAGGAGCCTGGGGGGAGAGAGAGGAAGGGAAAAGCAAAAGGGTTCTTGCTGGAGGGAGAGTGCGCTGGGCCCTCCCTCGTCCTCAGGGCTTTAAGGGCGGAGGGTTTAGGGGCGGTCCCTCAATAGAATATTCAGCAGCTTCCCAGGTGTGTCCTTTTAGGGTTGTGGTCTCCACTGATTGATAGGCCCAGCCCGCCCGCACCAGGGCAGGGGGTGATTATTTCAAACAGTTGGGCCTCAGGGCAGCTGTGGCTGGTTTTATTGCTTATCTGGGCCTGGAGCTGAAATACAGCCTAGGGATAGATGCTATCTCTAGGGAGGAAAGGTCAGAGGGTCCAAACCCGCACGACCAGGGAAATGCTGGGGGAGGAGAAGTCACCCTGGGGGCACGGTTCCACCCTACAATTGATTGTCCATTGCTAGGCATCTGTGGCTTTCCACGCCGATGGCCTTCTGTGCCTGCCCGTTGTCCTTGCTCTGCTCCTGTCTGTCCAACTGCCTACTGCAGTTGTTCCTTCCAGGTGGCTTGGACAGCCATGGACAAGCTCTGGGCATGGTGACCAGATGTCTGGTTCGTGCAGGGACCAGGGCTTCCCCGGATGTGGGACTTTTAGTGCTAAAATCAAGGCAGCCCTGGACACACTGGGATGGCTGGTCACCTCCTTGTGAGGCAGCAGGGGCTCCCCGCTCCTGATGGGGCCCTGGCCTGGGACAAGCGGGAAAGGAGGTGGTGGGACTTGAGAGCCACGGAGTCTCACTTCTGTCTCTGCCCAACTGACCTTCTACCTGGCGTCCCCTGCCTTCCCCGTGGCTCTCTCCCATCCCTCATTCACTTACCTCTTCAGTTCCCTTCAGGTCTCCTGACAGGATCTGGGGTGCCACCTCCTTCAGGAGGACCCCGGCCTCCCTAAGGTGGTGGGAGGTACCCTGTCCACTCCCAGTGCATAATGACTTCATCACAGCATTTTGTGTTGAATTTGCTTATTTGCCTAGCGTCTCCCCAAAAACACCTCTGGGAGGACAGGGGCTTCATCTTCATGCATTAATTCCACAAACACTGAGGGGCTCCCCACTGGGTCAGGAACAAGGGGATACAGCGTATCCCGGGGGTATAGTGACAGCAAAAACAAGTCCAGTCCTGCCCTCATGGAGCTTGTGGTCCGTTGGGTGAGACAGGCATTAATCAAATACCCATACGAGTAAAAGCAACATTACAACTATGTCAGTGAACGTTTGATTTGATGACCATGCACGAAGAACCAACAGGAGCCGTACCCCACATGAGGAGAGCCCAGGACGGGGGACCAGAGAGGCTTCTCCTGAGGAAGTGCTGGTGGCATGGAGATTGGAGGCCAAGAAGAGGTTAACTAGGAACAGGGGCAAGAGAAAGCTGCAGGCAGAGGGAGCAGCCTGTTCCCTCGTTTCAGGAGAGAAGACAGCTGCACAGGGAAGGTTCTCAGTGGGGGTGGTAGACTTTGCCCCCCAGGGAACACTTGGCCACGTCTGGAAATACTTGTGTGTCACAACTTGGGGGGAGAGTTGCAGCTGACCTTTAGCAGGTAGAAGTCGGAGATGGTGCCAGCTACCCTACCATGCACAGGACAATCCCCTATGACAAAGGATGATCTGATTTGAAATGTCAATGTTGCCCCTGTTGGTGGAGCAGAGAGCAAAGGGGAATGGGCTGTGAGCGGAGGCTGGCCGCCCTGCAGGTGTGGTAGGCGCGGGGACACAATCCGGTGAGCGTTCTGGAAAGGTCAGGTTAGCTGTAGTGTAAAACAGACACGTGGATGGAAGCGGGGAGGCCAGTCATGGACAGCTGTAGTTGTCCAGGGGACAGATGATGGTGGCTTGGACCAGGGCTTTGGGCATGAAGAGGGAGGGCGCGGAATGGAGGAGGTAACAGAACAGGACGTGGGGAGAAGGACTATCAGAGCCGACACCTGGCTTTCTGCATGCGTGGTGATAATGGCGAGCACACGCCAACATGTTGTAGGCAGCAGGAACGGCATCATGACCCGTCAGAGCAAACCTGGGGTCAGCAACCTCGGGATTTGGGTTCTGGCTAGGAAAGGTTTCAGAGCAAGACCCAAACTGTAAGAGAACGCTTACTGGGTAAATTACAGAGATAGAAGTACTTCTTAGAACAGTGGTTCTCAACCTTGGCTGCACATTAGAATCACCTGGGAATCTTTTTAAAATCCTGATTTCTGGGCCTCATCCTCCGGAAATTCTGTTTCTTTGTTACTAATGTTGTGGCCCCACCCCATAACAAAGAAACAGAATTTCCGGAGGATGAGGCCCAGAAATCAGGATTTAAAAAAGATTCCCAGGTGATTCTAATGTGCAGCCAAGGTTGAGAACCACCGTCTTATAAGAACTCTTGTGATTATATTGGTCCCACCTGGATAATCCAGGATACTCTCCCCATCTGAAGATCCTCAACTTAACTACACCTGCAAAGTTAGAAAACAAGTCATAGAGGTAAAGGAAGGGCCCTTGGAGTGAGGAAGCTAAAGGTAACACCTGTGGGATTGGGGGGAAAGGCCCAGCGCTTCAGGATCCTGGGTCCTCTGGGTCCTCCATCCTAAGGGTTTTCAGGGTAGAGATTTTAGGGGAAACCTGAGGGGAAAGATCTTAATATTCAGCAGTTTTCTAGGTGTGTCTTTTCAGGGTTGTGGTCTCCACTGATTGGCCGACAGCAGCGCAGGGGGTCATTATGCAATGCAGCTGGTCCTGGGGTCAGCCAGGGCTGGGTTTATTGCTTACCTGGGCCTGGAGCTGAAATACAACCGAGGGATAGATGTTATCTCTAGGGAGGAAAGGTCAAGGGTTCCAAACTGCAGGACCAGCGAAGGGCTAGGGGAGGAAAAGTCACCCTGGAGGCAAGGTCCCACCGTACAAGTGACTGTCCATTGCTAGGCACCTGGGCTTTCCATCCTGGTGACCCGCTGTACCGGGCCCATCGTCCTTGCTCTGCTCATGTCGGTCTAACTGCCTTGAGCACATCCCGCTATTGCAGAAGGGTCAGAGATCCTCCTTTTTTACCACTGCATCGTATTCCACTGTGCACATGTACCACCGCTTTTTTATCCACTCACCTCCTGAGGGGCACCTGGGCTGTTTCCAGATCTTATTTGCATTTTAACAGTTTACTCTGGCTGCCATGAGTGGGAGGAGAGAAGCCCGTTAGGAGGACCGCAAGTCCAGTGACGAATTTGTCACAAGGGCGGTACGTGCTGAGGCTTCCGAAAGAGGGATGGTGTCCAGTGATTGAGCTCTTGGCTGCAGGTCTCCTGGGCTGAGTCGATTGTACTGAGAGACAGTTATTGCATGAGCACTAGGTTCCCTATAATAAGAACAAAGTGGCAGGAAAGTATAAAATAATGGTTGCTGAAGGACTAATAAGGCTCAAGAAACAGAGCCAACTGCTTCCCACCCCCAGTGCCCATGCTGCCCTAACCCAGCAGAGATGAGGCCCCAGCTCCAGTCTGACTGTAGCTGAGATGCAGGAGTCTAGACGTTGGACAGTGGAGGACGCATGAGAGGGGACACAAATTAACCAGAGCAGGCTCAGGGGAAGCGCGTGCTGTGGTGGGTCAGGGGCCAATCTGACAAGATCCAAACTGCTGGAGAGTGAACTGTGAGACACGGAGATGGATTTGATGGACAAGGCTCCGCAAGAAGACAAGATGCCTTAAGGATGTGGCAATACCCTGAATAAGCTTCCTGAACCTGAACAGGACAACGGTGGCCCCACAGATGCTGTGAAAGAACAAGAAATGAAGTATGTGTGCCCTGACCGGTTTGGCTCAGTGGATAGAGCGTCGGCCTATGGACTGAAGGGTCCCAGGTTCGATTCCGGTCAAGGGCATGTACCTTCCCAGTGGGGAGTGTGGAGGAGGCAGCTGATCGATGTTTCTAACTCTCTATCCCTCTCCCTTCCTCTCTGTAAAAAATCAATAAAATATATTTTAAAAAAAAGAAAAAAGAACAAGAAATGAAGTATGTGGACTTGGCTTTTATGGAGCCTCCAAGAGAATGTTCCCTTACATCGAAAGCTGATGCCTGGCTTCTTTTTAATGGAAGAGTTTTTAAAAAATACGAAGATTTAAACTATTATATTTCAGCTTCCAAATTTGAATCTTTTAATGATAAATCAAAAGTCAAAAAGGTACTCCCTTGCCCGGCTGGTGTGGGCCAGTTGGTGCGGCATCGTCTCATGCACCAAGAGGTTGCCGGTTCGATTCACATGCTGGGTTTGGGGCTCAATCCCCACTAGGGGGCGTGCAGGAGGCAGCTGATCTATATTTCTCTCATTGATGTTTCTGTCTCTCCCTGGCCCTTCCTCTCTCTCTAAAATCAATAAAAACTTATTTTTT